ACAAGAACGGGGCGGAGGAAGCTTCCGGTGCTTGGAATGGAAGTAAGGGAGAGGATAAATAAAAAAGTAATGCAACATTAACATCTTCCCGTTAACTCTCAGCCGTTCGATCCATCCCACAGTTGCATGTCGCATGAATAGGCCTGGTGGGAACAGTGAACGAGAAAATAGGAATTTAATGAAGGTCAATTAAACTTTTATTTCATAATTTTACACTTTCTCATACGTTTAAAATGCATGTGTGATGCTATATATCAAATTGATCGATCGTACATGTCAAATTTTATAAAATTGATTCAATTGAATTTTGAGAGATGCATAATTTGTCTTACAATTGCCAAAATTTTACCTAATTTCTCAAAATTAGGTGTTAAAAGATGACATGATGAAGATGAAGTCAAAACGTCATCGACAATGAACAATATAAACAACATCAAAGTATAGCGATGTAGACGACCAGAATGAAACCAAAGACGAAGGATTCCTAGAGGCTAACGCCAATGATGAATGATGCAAACAAGTATGCTTCGACAAGGCTCTGACACCATGTGAAGGAAAACAACACTCTTTCTCTTACTCCTTTTATCGGACAACATATTTTACATATTTATATATACTCCCGCATTTATAGTTTATAAATATCTCCAATATAGAAAAGATCTTATAATTAGATCTCTACGTAGGTTACCTGATATCAAGTTTCCTAATAAAGTTTGCATGAACCATTTCATAAAAATCTGTTCGCAGATATAATGTAGCTAATAAAGTTTCCTAATATAGCTTGCATTATCCAAAAGTAAAACCAAATAAAGTAAAAAGCTTGCATTATCCAAAAGTAAAACCAAATAAAGTACCCAACAAAGTTGGTTTACAATCAAACTAACCTCATATATTTGGTAAGAGAATAATGATGAAGAATAAATGCTTTATTTTAAATTTCTTTTTCTAGTTAAGGAGATTATGTTTTCATGATACATATATTTTTTCTATTAATGGAATTATGTTTTCAAAAACAGCTTTTTTTCCAATACAATTTGCTGTCTTCAATAAATGTATTAAATCGAAGCATTATTATTGTAAATTTCAATCTACTCCTGCATCACAAATATTAAGACGAGAAGTATGTTTGTTAACAATCCATATCTTCTCTCAATCAACCATGATACATTTCATCCGTAACGGGGTGGACCTGCACTAGGCGGAAATTGCACACCATTAAAAAAATATCCCTATAATTAGAGAAGTTTTTGGTAATTTTGAACCCCCAACCCCAAATTTGATTTATTTCCAGAAAAAAAGGAAAAAAAAACCTTGCCTCCAGACTCCCTTCCGCATGTCCCGTCTTAATCCACAAGCACATACCTTTGCACTCTCCCATGCCCAGTCACTCTCTTCACGCACTCCCACTATCCTTAAAATCCCTTGCCTAGTCACTCTCTTCACGCACTCCCAATCTCCTTACAATCCCTCCTTCTATGCTTCTCTCACAACGCCATCGATGAAAACGACAGCCAACTCCCTTGCTTTATATATGAATGATATTGGTGACTCCTCCATTCTTATAGATGAATCTCATGATGTGACCAATAAGGAACACTTAGCTGTCAAAATAAAATATGTTGATAAAAAGAGCAAATTATTGATAGATTTATTGGTATTAAACATGCTTCCTCCACAGTGTAATTGCAGTAAAGGTAGCTCTTGAAATTATACTTATCAAATATTCATAGAGATTACATAGAATATGTAATCTAAAATTTGATGGGGCATCAAATTTGCACGGCAAGTTTAATGCTTTGAATGCTTTCATTATTAATGATAATCCACAAACATTCACGCCTATTGTAGATAGACCTGCTATTGTTGCTGATAAACCTACTGCAAGAACATGTTGGACGGTCGTTGGAATTGTATTGGCAATACTCAAAGTTGTTGTGGGTAAGTTATAGAAGCATGGACAATCGATTATGGCTCCACCACAATGTACTGCCCACCATCTTCCAAAATAGAGAACTTCCCTAACTCTAAAAAAAACCAAAATCTATCTTTCCAAAAATTGATTTTTCTCTAACTCCCTAAATAACACTTACACATTCCTAATTATAAAGCTACCACTATAAAGAAAGAAAAGAAAAATAAGTCTAAAAATAAAATTTAATCATGGAAGGACCCTAAAGCCTAAATGCAATTAAAAACTCTATCACTAAAACTGTGTGTTTTAAATCTTGACCTTTTGCTCTCTCAAACTCACGTGGTCTTTGCATATCTCTTCTCACCACTCTTAATGCTTGAGTCGGTTTAATTTACTCTCCCATTTTGCCTTTTTCTACCCCCCCCTCCCCACACCACCTCAACCATTCGGGTATGCACTCCTGGCAATAGAAAATTCGCTCTCTTGAAATTGAGATAAATTCAAAGTTTTAGTGCACCAATTCACGCTATCTTAAATAATGCAACAATTCACCAATATCCCTCCTCTTGATCCAATGTTAACTTTGCCCCAACCAAAAGTTAAGATCAAACAGTGAGAAATTTTCTGAATCAATAATTTTTCATGTGCATGAACTGAGAAGACAGGGTGATTACTACATAAAAATGGGGAAGAAGCAAACTCAAGGAGAATAATCATATCAAAATTTATACAAACAAAAGAAAGAATATCCAACCAGAATCCAAAAGTAAGAAATTGCAAAACGGAAGCATCCCCTTTAGCAGCCAAAGATATGCTTGATCTTTTCCGGGGAGCGCTTCTCTAGCCTAAGTGCCTATAACAACACCTACGGAGCACCATGTAAAGCATCTTTCTGTTATCTCCTCAACTTAACTGTTCTGACTGTCTACTATCATTTTCTTGTTTATATGAATGGCACTAGTTCAATGCAAATTTACAATTTAGATACTTTCCAATTGTCATCTCCATTTGCATTATAACACAGATTAATTAGAAATTGCTTAGTTGATCTGCTTCTCAGCATCTAAAAGCCTGAGAAGTCATCAGAATATTTCATATATTGGGAAGAAAGAAAACAAATTCCTCAGCTCGATACAAAACTAAGTATTAGTCAATTCTCTAACAATCGCAAAAATCATTTTTCTTTTTTATATCTCACATTATATTCTTAATCCCTACTCAGGAGGCTATAATGAAGTTGCAACATCGTCAACAACCCAGAACAATTTCAAATAACTAGAAAAAAAGAGAGAAAACAACTCTGCTCAGTGTGAGCTTCAAAAGATGACATAAGCATAGGGAATTTTAATCATCCTTATATTAAAACTATAAATCGCCACATCAATATGCAATATAATAATTTAAAAATAAAGTTGTGTAGTATGCAGGTGCAAACGCATATGTGATATGCCCTTTACAACTAATTCACTAGTTCTAAGAAGCAACCATGTAGAGGATAATCTATACTCTCATTTTAAGAGGCTAGAATTAAGGGTTCATTCATTCCTTAATTCTCAATTACCCTCCTTGGCTTCCAAGAAATATAAATTGACAAACCTTTGTACCTTCACAGAGTCATTCACATGGTGAATATTTGGCAGGCGCTTTGAAAGTATTTGTTCAATTTCATCTAACCTCGTCATATCCTACACAAGAAATAGAAATGCATTAGACAGATACAGAATACACATGCACAAATAAGATCCATTAACTCATTATGTACTGACAAACTCGCAAGCTAATAAATTAAATGAATTTTTTATTCATAACGTGTGTCAACTTCAAAAGAAAAGAAAATAGTCTGAGGAGGTTTCTTTATTATCACATTCAAACTATAAAGGCATTTGAGCAGACTCAACCAACCAAACTAACCTTCAAACAGGGAAAGATGAAACAATAAATAACACCTATTAATGCCATGTAGGTAGCATGATATCGGAGGGGGTGGTGACGCAGGAGCTCCCCATAAGAGGCTTTCTGCGATCATTGCTACAGTCCCGTGATCCATGCTACAAAGCCGCAACCACGACTACAATCACGCGAACTGGACCGGACACGGAAAGCTCCTTGCGACCTAGGACCGGTCAGAACAGAGAATTGAGGGCCGACCGACCTTCTTTATGTGGAATTTAGTACCTCCTTTCAATAGTGGGCCCAATCCTAATTACCTAGATCTTATAATTTTTATTCTTGTGTCTAGCTTTTCAGTTTTATGGTATTTTTTGCCAGGATAGCCACCAGCATTCAAGTTTTCCCCTTCTAGAGCTGTATCCAAAAGCGAGAAAGGGCTTTGATTGTGGCTCGACTGAAGTGTCGATCTCCTTCCAAGGGATTGAGTGGTGCTCTGGCTATAGCTCGTTTACGAGGGGTAATTTATCCTTACCCAACTCCTACGCAACCTTTCAAGCCGCCGCCATTGCCATCCCCTCCCTCCTCTTCGCTGCCCCTCGCTGTCCCAGCCTTTCTCAGCCCTTAGCTTCACCGCCAACACAATTCTAGCTCCTCCTTTTGATATCTCAGCAACCCACAACTTATTTCAGCTTCCAACCACCCTCCCTGATCAACTAGCTAACATCCACCACTTTTGAATCAAGCCCTAGTGTGAGTATGTGTCATGTTTTGTAGTAATTTCCCTTCCAAGTGTGTTTCTTTGTAACCTCTAATTGTTTAATATTTGTTTTTCCTATTCTGGTTTAGGTTAACTCGGGTATAAGGTGGGGTTAGAGAAGATTCAAAAAGAACAACCGAGAAAGAACCTTGAATAGAACAAAAAGACAGCATGAACAAAGACGAGATGAACTAATCAAATAATGATGCAAGGGTTTCCAATTCTCGCAACCGATAGGGATACAAAAGTTACCAGCTGAAAGATTGACAAAGGAAGGAGAATAAGGAGAATCAGGATTCACCACCAACAACGGAAAGATATAGTTGCCACCACCAGGATGTCACCACCAACAACGGAAAGATATAGTTGCCACCACCCAGCTCCTTGGATACAGAGTCATCCCATCCGGAAACCACAAAGGGAACAAAAGCCTTCACACAACTCCAATGAAAAAAAGACCACTTAATCAGGTTTTACACAAGATATTTATACTAATATTTAAGCTACAACCTAATTAGAAGAAAATAAAAGTAAATAAGAGTTCATAAGATCTGTTACAGAAAAGAAAAGGCAGGAAATCCCTATCGGGACAGGAATCCCGTTCTAGACGGACCCCGTAATCATGAAGTCCCGCAATCACAGAATCTCTCTATTGCTTCAAGCCCTGATGCAAATTCGCCTCAACTCTCGCGTCAGCTTCCTCGCCCGACTTTGCATCTCGCGGTAGCCTCAACGTCCCGCATCATAGCAAACTTTGTGAAAAAATAGCGTGTCCAACACAGTGCAGACAGGATAAATGTGAAAAAAATGGAAGTTGCAATTACCCAAGTTACTCTCACCAAGGATTGCAGGAAAGCGCATTTAGGTACAATCTCGGCCTGCAATAGCCAAAACATTGGCAGAATTGCTAAAAATAGCTAACAACCATATTAATGTTGAAGAGAAGCCCCAGCAAGGCAAGACTTTCCCAAGTCCTGGGCAATGATAAAAGCAGCCACAGGAGCCAAAGATATGGAGAGGAGACTATACATCTAGCAAAATCACTCATACCAACATTAAGGGACAGCAATCGAAAGGCTACTATGAATGACAGGCTGGCTAATCATCAATTTTATCATAGTTTGAGGACAAATAATATTACACCATCTTTCATTGTACATATAAGGACCCATAAATGATACCGTTGCTTGTTGGTTCATGACATTAAGAAAACAAATAGGTAGAGTTTGGGGAGACGAAGCAAAATGGAACGGTTGAATCTTGCAAGAATAAAGAGAGGGCGCAGGGAGACCGCATTTCTTGTGCGTGAAAAGGAGAGTGAGAGAGGGAAGTCAAAGAAGGCCAGCTCAGTTATAGATAAGAGATCAAGCAAGTGCTTTTACTCATTATCAAGCATAGGGCTTGAAATAAGGTTGTCAAAAAAGCCTGTTGTTCAAGTACGACTCATTAAGTAGCTTGTGTCCGACTAAATGAGCCAAACATGAAACAACCCGTTGTTTGCTCGTGTTCAACTCATTTTAGCTCAAAATAAAGAAATTGTATATATTATTTATATAATAAATATATGATATATATTATATATATATTTATATCTAAGTTTAAATCATAATAGCTCTTATGATCATGTGGTTCTGCGTCTTCTATTTCACAGAGTTGGTGCATGTTAGAATCCAACACTATACATCTATTTTTTTCAATTATTTTTAACGAGTCAATTTCGAGCCAAACAAGAACAAGAACATTTAAATTGTGTCAAACACGAACACAATGTTCACGAGCCAATTTTGAACATGAGTCGATTTCGAACAAGAGCAATTTCGAATGAGCCGAACACGAGCCAAGCCTGACTCGCTCAAACTCGGCTTTTTAACAACCTTACTTGAAATTATTAAAGGGGAAACAAATGATAGGAAAGTAAAATATAATTTGTACATTGACTAATATTAATCCAAAAAAATTGAAATAGCCACTGATAATTAAAATCTAAACATAAAGTAATTATGACTATAACAACATTCTTCTAATTTGGTTGTCTTTCATAAATATTTTCTTTTCTGTCACTCATTTTCAAGTCAAAAGCTTAAATCTGAAAATGTTAGTTCTTTTATCAGAGTGAGTTATCTACAGCTAGTGAATATTCATATTTTTAACCTACTACAAAAATATAATGAACAAAAAAAATATGTATACCTGTTAAACAAAAATAAATTAATGTAAAAAATAAATGAAAAATTTACTATTCAATTTGGATCATTCAAAAAGGTTCGTAGCATTCTATCATATTGTATATTATCTTACTTTATTGACATTTTATCATTGACATATATCATAAGAGCACCATCTAAAGTGAACAATTTAAGGTATAACAATGTCAATATACTTTTTCCAACTATGTATACAGGTACCTAAATATTCTTAACTAGTACTATAAGGAGGTGAACTCCATAAGTCAATCAAGCATATGCATGCAAGCTATATAGATTATTTAATTCACATATCATATTAAAAGTGTAAATTCGGGTCAGCGAGTCGGGTTCGGGCCCGACCCAAATATGGTAAACATGAACCCGACCTGAATAATAAAAGGGTCAAAAACTAAGACCCGGACATGAGCTTGACCCGCTAACCCGAACCTGACCTGAACTTTTGTGCTTATTCGGTTCATATTTGGGTTTTTGGGATCAACCTAAACCTGATACGAATAATAAACGGGTCAAATTCTTTGACCCAAACTCGACTAAAAAAAAAATTGGGTCAACCCTAACCCGAATTTTTCAAGTCAAGTTCGAGTCGTGTTGGCGTGTCGGGCTAATTTTTAACTCCTATACCACCTATCAATCTATATATTTTTCACTATAATCAATATAAATAAATAAAAATATATGAATCTGTAACATTTATTTTAAAATGTCCAATTTAATGAGTCAAATAGAATAATCATATCATACTTGTAATATAACACTATCTAAACAAATATCATTCTTATATAACTGATTAGAAGAAACACAATATTATTATAATAATTTAAAAAGTAAAAGAGTATTCACTTGAATCGGATGATTTGTGTTACCTTTAAATCTTAAAAGTCACCTTCCAAGCAAGTTATTTATATCGAAAACAAATTTTTGTATGTTTCCTTAATGGTTTAAATTTTAATGGTTTAAATTTATCTCAACTCCAATTTATCTCCTTTATAATTATGGGGAAAACATTCATATTAGTAATTTTTTTTAATTCACATATTTAGTCATGTTTAATTAACCATTCATATTAGTAAATTTTTATTCACATATTTAGTTATGTTTAATTAACCTTTATTATGACAATTTGGGAAAATTTACATGCATAACCACACATTTCTTATGTATCTAACACCCAATGTTTGATATTTACACCATACATTGGAGTCATAAATTTATGCATGAAAAGATGTATTTCACTTCAAAAAAAATAGTGATGGCGATAATTTTTATGTGATGTTAAATATTTGATTGGTATGCATGTAAATATGAATGTTTAGATGTTAGGTATGCAAATACATAAGAAGTTCATGGTATGTATGTAAATGCCCCTATAATTTATTAATTATTTCAATTACTAATTAAATTCTTTAAATAAAATTATTAATTTTACAAATTTTATTAAAATATAGGCTCAAGCCTTGAATTTCTTTTGCTTTATTATTATGAGTATTTCTTTTATCTCTTATTATATATTAAATTACAGATTAAAATTTTAAAATTTAGTCCTTTCAAATTCATTCTTTTACTTCACATTATTATTATTAAATTATAATTGTATATTGAATCATCTCTTCATCATAATGTTACATGACATTTGTCCGTGCTCGCTCACCTACATGGTCTTCTGCGCTCACTCTCCCTCGCTTTATCTGTCACTCACTTGCCTTTTCTCTCCTTTTTTGTCTATCCTACCTTCTCACTCCTTTTCTATGCCCCGCAGCTTTCTCATTCAACTAAGGGCATCAAGCCCTCAATTTTATTGGCTGCAAGCAGTGCCACTGGTGAGAAACGAAGA